ACCCAGAGGAGGGAGAGGCATCAGAGGGAGGGAGGAAGGAGCACAGGGAACTGAGGTAATGGTGCACGGGTGCACTGGTGAAGGAAACTATGGGGACTACACCTGAGGGCATGGGGGGAAGCAAATATTGTTTAAAAATGAACAATGATGTAAAAAAATTAAAAAGAGTAAAAAAAAATTTAAAAAAAGATCCTACCCATCTTCAGTGATCTACTCCAACCACCAGCACCTCTGAAAACCTTTCACTAGCCCTCACTCCCACGGCAGGCTTTCCAAAGATTTGTTACAGCTCTTTCATGGTGCTTACCCCACTGAAGCAAAAGGGAAGGAATTATGTCTTCGCCTTCAACCACAAATCTATCTTCCATGGCTCAAACAATGTCAGCCTATTTAAGGGACTCCATTCATTTTTGCTGAATGAATTTGCAAATCAGGTCATCTACTACTTCTTTGATGCTAGTGCAGGAAAATAGTTGTTGCATTAGAAGTTATAACATAGGGAGCCTCCAAGGGAGTATGGGGGTTAAAGTCTCAGTGCAATCAAGCTATTGTCAGCCACTGCACCATGAGTTCAATCCCTGGCCAGGGAGCTGACCCACATGGTGCAGTAGACCTCTCCTGTCTCTCTCCCACTGCTCCCCTCAGCAGTGTATTTCAGTAGATCTGCCTGCTCTGCTCCCCACTCTGTCTCTGGTGAATCCTGTCACCCCTGGCCCCCACCTATACCCCAGATCTTATATGCATAAATAAAAAAAAATAAATCTTTAAAGAAAGTTATAACAGAAATGGTTTTATACTAAATGAAATCCCATTCCCAATACAGCCCAGGTAAGACCCTGAAGGGAAACTGCACCCATCTTTACATAATCCATGTACAAAAGTTGAGACCAAATGAGAAACAATCCATGGCTCTTGCCTCTACTGGGTAGGCTAGGATACTCTGTCCATGAACTTCCTGTGCAAGTGAGGTCACAGGGTATCTGCAGACTAAATTCACTAACTAGGTATTGTAAATCTCATGATATGAAGACTGTCCCTGTGCTTCCTTCATGAATTAGAAAATTTTAAGGAAAACATTTCAAATTATTCTTAAAATAATGAACTTTGAATTTGATGGAATTCATTGTAGATTAAGACCCAAATAGACAAAAAAGAATGTTGAACAACATAAGAAAACATTGGAAACTAAACAGATTACACTGTGTACAACTGTATGGTACTATATACTCAAAAGGAGGGGAGGGGGGAAAGGGAAGAGATAAGAGAGGGAGGAAGGGAGGGAGATGGAAAGACAGACAGACAGACACAGATGTGAAAGGTCCATGCAGGAGGCCTGAATGCAGGAGCCAACCAGGAAGCCCACCTGGGGGGCAGGAATGCAGATACCTGCCTGGAGGACTCAGGCAATGAGCCTCCCCCCTCCCCCCAGAGAAAGAACCTCTACCTGCCCTACAAACTTTTCCCGATGTATGAGCCCAACTACCCACCTGACCTCTCCTCACCCTATAAAACCCTGCTTCCCCCTAACAACGTGCGTGGCTTCACTGACCCCCACCTTGGGTCTGTGAGGTTCGCCCTGGGCGCAATAAACTTTCCCTCCCTTTGAGAAATGTAGCCTGGCTCTCCTTTTCTTTACCGCGCCGAACCTTTCAAGATGAAGGAGATTAAGAGGAGTTACCAAAATGACAGGACTGCCTGGGGAAGAAAAATAAAAAAAATAGGCCTCTGGATAGGAAAGGAAAGACGTGTACTATACAGGTTGATGTGGCTAAGAATAACATGGAATTTTTAGTAGAAGAGATGTAAAACATTTATTTAGGATCAATAGAAAGTGCTCTCTGACACAACATATATTTTAATCATATTAAAATTTTGCCTCAAGACAATCCAGACTAAAATAGGAATTATTTCAAGAAGAATCAGGCCTCCCCGGTGGCGCAGCGGTGGAGAGCAGGGTTACGAAGCTGCCCGCAGCCTCTGCAGCACCAGTTCGATCCCTGGCTGCCAGGCGAGGGTCCCACATGGCGTGCAGACCTCTCCTGCCGACCACTGCTCCCTTCAGCAGTGTACTTCGTCAGTCTGCCTGTTGTGTTCCCCGCTCTGGCTCTGGTGAATTCTCTTACCCTCCCGCGCTTCTGACTGTACCCAGTGCTTGTATAAATAAATAAATCAATCTTTGGGGAAAAAAAAAAAGAAGAATCTGTGTATATCTAATGTAAACTGGTTATAAGAACACAATTATCTTGGGGCTGGTCTCATTATTAAGAAATCTATGGTGAGGGCCTCCCCAGTGGCGCAGCGGTTGAGCGCTGGGTTGCGAAGCTGCCCGCGGCCTCTGCGGCGCCGGTTCGATCCCCGGCTGCTCCCCAGCCACCGGAGGAGGGTCCCACATGGCGCGCAGACCTCTCCTGCCGCCCGCTGCTCCCCTCAGCAGTGTACTTCGGTCCTTCTGCCTGCTCTGCTCCCTGCTCTGGCTCTGGTGAATTCTCTCACCCTCCTGCGCTTCTGACTGTACCCAGTGCATGTATAAACAAAAACAAAACAAACAAACAAATAAAAATAAAAAAAAAAAAAAACATGCCTCTATAAAAAAAAAAAAATTAAAAAAAAAAAAAAAAGAAATCTATGGTGAGAGGAGAAATATGCATAAAGCATTCCTGCAGCATACCAAAATACTACATAGTCTTGATCAAATTGTGCAACTGATTGTTGCATTGTGAGTTAAACTAGCTACATTTTTCATGGAACATCATTTTTACTTGAAAGAACAACTGACAAAATATGGATATTTAGACTTCTGTATTTGCCCTATATTTTCCCAAAAATGAACAAAATGAGTCTGGCAGCTCAATAAAACTGACTGTTTTTGTTATTGCTGATAAAATTCAAGCTTTTAAGCAAAAAATTGTGATAAATTTGGGAGAACTGATTCCCAATACTTAAAAGATACAAAAGATAAAAAAGGAAACTCTATGGTTACTAAATAATACTGAAATTGGGAGACAGGTTCAATTTAACAAATTGATGACACTTTATAAGTTCTGGATTTCATTCTTACTAATTATAATAAATCTTTGAAGTTATGTAACTTTAAAACAGAGTAGCTTAATATACTCATATTTCATATCAATTGAACTTTAAGAATCTATACATACTGTACCAAAGCACTAATAAAAACATGGATGACTATCAAAAGCTAGAATTCTGATCTCCTTTAATTAGTTTTTTGAGGAACATAACTTTAACATGCTATCCAAGATACCAAGAAAGTCAGAAAAATGTCTCAAGTACAAAAACACTTTTTCTCCAAAATCTCTCATAGCTAAAATAATATCCCCCAATAATGTCTAATGTTTAGTTGCATAAGAAAGTAAAAATTGCTGTTGAATTTATAAAACTTCCAAAATGGTAGAGGCTTTTAAGAAAAGCCTGGTGAATACTTTGGTTAATTACTCAAATCCACTGAGCTATCACTGTCATATCTACTACAGCTTTACTAGGGGTTGTATTTTGTCTAAGAAAAAACTGCAGGGCCTAACCCGGTGGCGCAGCGGGTTGAACGCAGCGCTGTGAAGCTGTCCGCAGCCTCCGCAGCACCGGTTCGATTCCTGGCCGGCCAGGGGGACTCCCACATGGCAAGACAGACAGACCTCTCCTGCCTTTCCCGCTGCTTCGGTCTGTCTGCCTGTTTTGCTCCCGGCTCTGTCTCTGGTGAATCCTCTCACCTTCCCACAACTCTGGCCTGTACCCCAGCTCTTGTATAAATGAAAATCAATCTTTAAAAAAAAGAAAGAAAAAACAGCAGTGAAGAAAAATAATATGGTAAGATATTCATCATACTTTCTCAAACTTTAATCTCAAACTCCTATTTTGGAATATATCAAAGTTTCGACAATGCATGCCTTCTCAAGCATCATTATCTGAGCTCATACGTCTTACTCGACAAACAAAATTTTAATCAAGAAAAAGTCATCCAATAATTTTGTTTTAGGAAATAATGCAGTCTCCTTGAGGTTTGCTTTTTTCCTCTTCCCCTGCTCTGCAATTCATTACAACAATCTATTATGACAGAAGACAATGCCTAGTAACAATTACATTTCAAAATTCTGCAGGTGTCTTTATTGTTAGAGGTCATACATTTTTAGTTAACTCAGGAAGCAATGGCACTGGCTCAAAGACTACAAAGTGTCTAAGAAGAAAGAATGCATACTGTTACTAAGTAATTTCACATTAAATACATAATCACTAAGAAAACTCAGAAAAGTGTAGGCAATGTGTTTTAATATCTATACGAAGTTTCCATTTTTTTCCCATTCATCAGAAAGCTACATTAGCTCCTTTTCAAACAAAGGATAAACATGATGTTAAATTTTTTAACTACAAATTATCTAATCATTATTTTATCTCAGAAGTCATCCTAACTGGTAGCAAGACTACCTACCCTTGAAAATTGGACCCAAGCTGATTAAATAAAGGAGCACTGTTTTTACAAGACATTTCACTTAAAAAAAAAGTCTTGAGTGTGGCACAAATGTTCACTGCCCCCATTCTTTGACAGTGACCTAGAACACTAAAATATGTACATTCCTGAATTCAAATCACATCATCTGCTATTGGTTTCTCCATCATATTTTTACAATCAGTTACACTGAGAGTACTGGAATAAAACTACGATTAAGCACTAAATCCAAACTCAAAGACTTGATACTGAATGGATAAAGCTGTCAAGAATATTCAAGAAAGATGAAACACACCGGTCATCAGACCTCACTTTGCTATGTCCACTTAATACAGTTTTAAGTTATTTATACGTGCATTAATAGTACTCCTCACATACCAAACCCATGCCCCGAAGCAGTGTATTTGACATGTCTGAAATAACATTTCAAATTAAATGCTTTCTGCTGGGCTCCTGCTTATTCCGCTTCCAAATCCCAGAAGTGACAGCCAGCGTTTCCTAAGGTGTGACCTGGGAAGTGAGGGTGTGTCCCGATGCTTACCGATGCCTGGAGCCACATAGATGAAGTAGAGACAAGACGTGGAGAGCGAGAAGAAGAAGATGAAGGCCAGGAGGGAGCGATTGGAGACCCGCATCATCCGCCTAAGCACAGACATCTTCCTCTTCCCCGCCAGCAGCTCGGGCTGCGCTCAGGCCGGACTTGGGGGCCACCGTCCAGGCCCTAAACTTCCATGAATGTGCCAAGAACCCCGAGAATGCAGAGGGGGTCCGCGCGAGGAGGCTCTAGGGGAGAGGGCCCCGGCAGCAGAGAGGAAAGGGGAGGGAGCGGCCGGAATGAATGGGAGGCCGGAGAGCCCGGGGAGGAGGAGCAGGAGGACCGAGAGGAAGGAATGAAGAGGCCAGAGGGGACGTGGGGCAGATAGAAGGACCCGCGGAGGCCCTGGAAGGGCGAGGACCGCGTTTGATCCGCCCGGCAGCGGCAGGAGGAGGGGCTGCAGGTGGGGAGAAGCACCGGGCGCGCGCCGCGGCGCCCCTGCGGAGAGGGGCAGCAAACTGCAGCCCGCCCGGCTCCGAGGCAGCTCCGGCAGCCCGCGCCGGCCGCCGGGGTCCAGGTCGCCCAGCAGGGCCGCTCAGGGTCCCGCCCGCCGCGCCCGGCAGGCCTGCACCGCCGCCTCCTCCTCGCGGCCGCGGTGTCTCGTGCCTGCGCGGGGCTAGCGTGGGCGCCGGGGCCGCAGCCGGCGCGCGCGACGCGCGGGGGCCCGCGGGGGCCCGGGGGGCCGAGCAGCTGAGCGCTCGCCGGCACTCAGCCTCCTCCTCATGCCGCGCGGGGTCCCGGCGCCCCGCGGTGGCCGCGGGAACCGAGCGCAGACGAGGGCGGCGTCCGGGCCAGCGGCGAGCGCGCTCCGGCCCCGGCTCCCGCTCCGGCCACCGCCTGCCGCCCGCCGGCTCGCTAGGGCGGCAACCACAGCAGCATTACCGCCGCCGGCCCGGGGAGCTGCGCCCCCGCCGGCGGCGCCCCCGCACGGCCCCCGGACACCAGAGGAGCCGCCGGAAGAGTCGGGCTGCGGGGAGAGTCCAGGCGCGCGAAGAGGGAGAGGCCGGGCGCGGTCGGAGCAGCGTCTGGGGCGCAGAAGGGGCGGACCTGAAAAGGGGGAGCGGGCAAGCCCTGGAGGAGAGCCGGGACCCCCCGGCGCGGCCGGAGACCCCCGGGGACGGTGCGCGCTCGCTCGCTCGCTCGCAGCTGCAGGCGGCGCTGCGCCGGCCCCGGCGGAACCCGGCGGCCCCCGCCCACCCCGACCCTCTCCGCGCCCGAAACACCGCGCCTCCTGATTGGCCAGCGCCGCGCCGCGCGGAGCAACCTGCCCCCTCCCTCCGCGCCTGGACCACGGCCCCCGCGCCGCCTGCGTCACAGCCGCCCCCTCCGGTCTTGGAACCCTGGGGCGCTTGGGGACTGAAGGGCAGGTCGTGAACTTCTGGCGCGTTCCACCCTGGGGAGCGCTAATGAAGGATCGTGCACCTGGGGAGAAACGGGTATCTAGAGAAGGGGACTTCAAGGGTGTCATTTCCTCCCAAAACGCACGCCCAGGGAATAAGGCGTCTGCGTCCTAGATTAATGAACACTCCCATCCCGCCTTTCCTGTAGAAACAAACTGTCAGGATGTAATATGGATCTATGCATAGCTCTTGCAATAGAACTTGCCTTTCCATTTGAAGGTGAGCGCTGGGTCGACCTGCTGTGGCTATTTCCATTCAGGAGGGGCGGGGGTGACTTCTGTGCAGCCAATAGGCCCTTGGGCGCTGCAGCAACCACCAGATTCAGTAGGCAAAGTGTTTTAATCCACCCACTAGGCCGTGGTCTACTCTTGTTCAAAAGCTCCTTCCTCCTGCTACCTAAATTAATCCCGATCCTTAGCTATATACTGTTTTCCCAGCTTGTGTGTGCAGGTGTTTGTTTTTCAAGTAATCGTGTAAAAAGCCACTGTTTACCCCCTTCTGCCATTTTGTGCTCATTATTCCAGATGCATGGTATTGAACCATACCTTCTTAGAAAATTATCTATGCCTTAGGCTATCTCTGAGATAGTGCTATGCTATCTGGAGCCTGAAAGGCCTGAGTTTGTAATTCCTCTGAGGCCTTTTATTAACTGAAACTGATGGCAATCTACTATCCTCGCAAGTCTCTTTTTTTCAGCCCTCAAATAGTGAGTGTAATACCGCTTTACAATGTGTGGGATTAAATAGGATAACTGTAAAAAATTAAGCGTGATTTATGATTCCTTTACATCCCATTAGACAATTGACTGGATGGAATCACCAAGTCGAAATTCATTTTTTAAATATTTTTCTTTTTGGTGTACTTACAAATTATTTAACTTTTGGCTAATTTGATATTTAATGTGAAAGGAAATAACTCCATTTTGTTCCATTTTTAGATGCTTAAGGGGAATCTGCAGAGCAATGTGCAGTAACATTAAATGACAGATAAACCTCAAGCAAAGGACATCTATGAATGGTGAGGGAGCAAATTTGTAGTTCCCTCTTTGATCTGCTAACTTTTCATCTGTTTGCACCAGCTCAACTGTTTGTTTATAAAGCTAACACTGTGCTGCCACCCATTTAGTGCACACCACACATTTGCTGGCTTAGTGATGTATGGTTCTTCTCAAGCAAGTTTGGCTTTTTAAAAGGAAAGATTACTGTTAAACTTAAAATATGAAACATCTTAGAAATTTGAACTTCTTAGAAATTGATGATTTATCTTTTTTAATATTTATTTATGCATACAAGAGCTGGGGTATAGGCCAGAGGTGGGGGGGGAGGGGGTGTACAGTGAGAGGATTCACCAGAGACAGAGTGGGGAACAGAACAGGCAGATCTACTGAAATACACTGCTGAGGGGAGCAGTGGGGCAAGACAGAAGAGGTCTACTGTGCCATGTGGGTCAACTCCCTGGCCAGGGATCAAACTCCTGCTACAGTAGCTGCAGATTGCTTCATAGTGATGAAGCTTAACCCCTTGTGCCACCAGGGAGGCCCTGATTTCTTATTTAAGAAATCTGAAGTCTGTGTGTAGAGGTGTCTGGCTTGCATAGATGACAGCCATTGGTATCTCTCTCAAGTTCACCCCAATAACTGTGGAAACTGACTGATTCCCCCAAGTAAAGCATGTGTCAAAAAACCAGCTCAGTCAGTGCACCTGATGCAATGATTATCACCAGTTACCTAGAGAGGCAGCCAATCCCTCTGAAGCCAGGCAGCCTGGATGGGATTGAATCCCACTCACTCTGGTCCTATGACTTCAAAGGTTACTAAAGCATTACCTCTTTAGCCTCCATTACCTCATTAGGAAAAGATCATCATAGTACCTCTGAGGATTGTAGTGAGGATTAAATTAAATAACTTAATCCCTCTAAAGGCATTAAGAGGGAGAGAACCTGGTACATGATAAGCAGTATTTAAGTATTTGTCATGTGTATTTTTTTAACCTCTCCTTTAGATCACTCTGTCAATAGTAACAAGTGATGTTGGCCTCTTTCTGTTTAAAATAATTTTCTACTGAGTCACTAGTGAAGTTCCTGTCTCTGTAGTCTGAGGAATGCCTCAGGATCTCAACTCACTTGTAGAACAAAAATAGGTGAAATACTTAGAGCCCAGGAAATGCTAACCAAACCTTTTTAAGACCATATGATCAATTTATACTTCTTGGGAGCAAGGAAAGGCCTACAACAGAGGGATGAACTCGCAGAAATATACTAAGTTTAATTTTATTATACAAAAATACCTTACACTTAGTAATACTCAACTTACAATACAAAATTATAGTTACATTTCACTTAATGGCTTTGTTCTACATTTATTACCACCAAGTATTCCTTTGATTATTGTCTGTCCAATAGAGACTCCATATGTGTAAATATTTGAGAATCAGACTGAATAAGTTAAGTTAGATATCTACTGGTTTTCTATTTGTATTATAAGAAATATATTGCTGAGATTGTGATTCCAACAAAAAGAGAAAAATGTACTTATTTAATGTGGCAGGCATTTTATTTGGTCTGTGTTGGCTGAATGAGGACAAACAATATCCATTACATGTTTTGGATTTACTCACAACTTTGGTAAAATACAAATCAATAAGTGTTTTTTCTATGAACTAGGAGAAAAGGAATGAGAGCATTTTATCTTTATGGTTACTAAGGGTTCAGACCTCCATATTACAATCACTGGTTAAAGACAGTAGTTTTATACATTTAAATACATGTTCTCAGCATCTGAGAACCAGTTAAAGAATATTGTTAGATTGATGAATTATGCTTAATTGAATTTTTAACATAATATTGGAAGACTGTATAAAAGTCATACATTGTCATGATTCATTTAAAAAAAATGGTATATTCCATAATATTTTTTGTGGTACAGAAACATCTCTTACATAAAGCCATTTTCCATTGTTATGTTATGTTGTTACGGTGCTATTGTTATGGTTATGTTATGGTGCTATTGAAAATATTATTTAAGCTACATGCAAAAAAAGTTAATTAAATCTTGCATTTGTAATATATACATGAAATAATACAGAAATTTATGACAATACTGTAGTAAAGTTAAATTTGGAAAAAAAAAAACATTGTAACAGTCTCTACTTTATCAGTTGCTCCAAATTTCATCCTTATCTCAAAGTGCCCTATTCCTTTCATTCTAAATCCAAGACTTCTTTCATATCATAAGACTTATGCTAAACCATGTTCAAGTATTCAAACCACTTTCCTACCATTTTCACAATATTCCTTTGGGGTAGGTAAAGCAAGAATTATGTCATTTTAGAATGAGGAAACAAAACTCTCTGAGGTTGAGTATCTGACCTGGGGCCAAAATGGTAACAAGGTAGCAGAGCTGGAAGTGAGTCAAGATATCATCAGCCCTGTTCAGTGATTTCAATAAACCACACCCATTTCATATGTATTACTTTGCTTATCAGAACGAATGTATTGTTTATTGTAATATTTAAATTGTTCTAGAAGTAAACATATGCATCCGCCTTTCACTTTCTTTCCAGATTTTGTCTTAGACATTTGTGTCAATAACTATATGACATGGTTCATAAAGTTAAGGCCCAACTGTCTAGTTCTTGCTTATAATCAGATGATAAATCAAATGAGAAAATCAAGATTGTTTTCTTTGTTCATCCTTTTTCTTAGCTTGATGCTTGGTTTATTCAAGAGATTGCCTGTCTGAAATACTAAGCAATCAATCACCCCTGACTAAGCCCTAGGCTTTCAGGAAAAAGTTCTCCCAACAGGGCATGAAATAAGAATTTGTTCAGAAAATTATGAGGTTGAAATGTGAGTGAAGAGACAATGGAAAGCAAATATAGAAGAGCTGAGAAAATGGGAGTCACAAATAAGGCAGTGCCTTGTGCCTTCCATGGACGGGGATATAAGTGCCCACCAGAGCAAACACAGAAGGCTAACTGCCTACTTGAAGCTTCTGCCACCCAGATCCTATA